AAAAATATCGTTATAGGGTTTCATTAACAAGGATTTAGACAAACCTAATTCTCAAATGTCTAATTGTGTGGGTTATTAATTAGCTTTGGTGGTGGTTGATTAATGAGGTTATGTGGAAGAAAAAGGTTTTAGGATCTGCTTGTCTCTTAATTTCATTGTTGGATCTAGCCCAATTTAACTACTTTAGTAACATTTTCTGACCAATGTGAGTTTCATAAAGGAAGAAAATAAAATGTTGAGAAGTTATTCACGATGACACATAACATTCACTTATTAAAATATTAACTTATCTAAAAATAAAAAAATTATATGTGTAGGATAGATAATTTGAGTAATTGAATATCCTATACTTAATTCGTTCAATTACTAAAATCTTAAAAATATTTTTCCTTATACAAATGACCTATATCTTTCGCTACAAATAGTTATTTTAAGTCAAAGTTAAAATACACAATTATGTGAGCTTTTTAAATAATCATGTAATGTAACTTTTTCTTAATGATATGTGATTTTTTTTTTAAGGGATGATGATGTGATTTTAAAACATTAATATTGGTTATCTAACAAATAATCCTGTTGTGGATAATAATTTGGGTTTGTTTAAGTAAAATCGTTTTGAATAAAATGAATATTTTTTAATTTATATTTTATAAAAAGAAGAAATGAATATGTTAGAGGTTTAATCCACACGCGTGCAGCAGAGGTTGACATAAAAAAGCAACAGCATGATCGCTTTTGAAAACGGTGATTGTGGGACCCACTCATTTAAAAAGATAGATCCGACAAATATGATTGGGTCGTGAAAACCACACCCAACTTATTTGTCGCCGTCTGCCCCCTCCAATCCTAAATCAAAACTAAAACCCGCTTTCTTGTCTCCCCCAACACCATTTCGCTTTCACTCTTTTTTTTTTTTAATATTTTTTTTTGTCTCCATCAACATTTTTTTAATCTTTAAATTATATTCTTTTTTCTTTCCTATCAAAGGTTTAATATACTCTCGCATTTTATTTTCCCCTGTTTTTGGAAAAACAAAATTCATTTGAACACCGAGTAGAAGCTGTTTTAAAATCTAATAAGAAAATACTCGTGGTTTAGAAAAGAAAACATTCGTATCTTCTTGGAGTAGAATAATAAATATTAAATATGTAATAACATGACTTATTGTTTGGGATATTGTTATTTTTTGTAACGTTTAACACGGGATTAGATAAAAGAAAGAAATTAGGAACATTAAAAATGAGAAAAGAAAAAAAATTGTTGAAACGATATAAAATGGGAGTCAACTTTTTTTTTTTTCTTTTCAGAATTTAGTTTTAAATTTTTTTCTAATTCATTATCACCAAACCAACACCAATAGTATAATGTTTTCTTCAACTATCTTATTTATTTATTTATTTTAACTCTATTTCATTGACACAAAAATAGTAAAAATGATTCTAGGATTGTTTTCATCACCTATTTCATTTTGATCATATATTATTAGTATGAAATATTTATTGATTTTATTAATAACTAGTTTTTATTGAGAAATTTGATTGATCACCTTAATGAGATCTCATCTCCAAACTATTTTTTCTTTCATACGAAATTTTAACTCAAAATATTACTTAAAGAGATTGAGTTCAATACCATTTCATGTATACTTGCATGTTTAATTTTGAATTTTAAAAAATCAAAAGAAGTTTCAATTGATGACTTTCTTTTAATAAACATAAAAAGAAATTGACAATCTTGTTTTTATTTATTTTTGACAATTTGTAATTATAAAATTTAAAACACCTTTAAAATGAAATTTTAACTTGCTTTTAATGTAATTTTAATATATGTATATATAATTACTTTTATGATTTTAATATAAAGAGGTATCAATACTCTTTTATTTTAAGGCACATAAGGAATCACCAATACTTTGGCCTAATGTGTCACTGTCCATGTTTAGTTTACCTCTTCAGTTGTGATACACCACCTAGAGAAAGAAGATAAATCTTGAGTGTGTTTCCGAATATGCCCCAAGCAAATAAAGGGTCCTATGGATATGTCCTACCCATATATGTGAAAGTAGTGGGTGGGGCATCCTTATAGAGGCTATACATGTGAATATGTGGGGGGTATATATGGTAATAAAAGTATCAAGTTGTGTATAATACTAGGGAGGTTGGTGTAGATGGAAAAGGGAATCTTGAAATAAAATAAAAAGGGTAATGAGTGGATTGGGTGAAATTATTGATATAATTTTCAGTATTTGGTTCAGCATGCCTTGTTTTTCTTTGTCCTCATAATCACAATGTTCCTCTCTTTCTGGTATGAGTCTTTTTCTTTTTTCGCCACAGCAATGAGAAAGAACGGTACAAGTATATAATACTACTTAATGAAGACTGGAAAAAGAAAATTTAAAAATAGAGCAGCATAATAAAATAGAAGGATGTGGACAACATCATCATTACATTGGCTAGGAGTGTTTTCAAATAGTCTAAACATATTTTTAGAGGGTAACGAAGTCATTTTGTATTTATTTAATTCACAAAAAATGACAACTCTTTCTTGTTTGAATAATGTAAGAAAAATAAAGAAGAGAAATTGCACAAAATGAGAAGAAAATTATAAAATTTCTTGTTTTCTTTGATTTACTTTAATAAACGATTTATCTTATTTTAAACAAATAGTTGTTTCTTTATAACATTTTAAGGAAAATTTAAAATTATTTATTTATTTATTCAAATATTCTTATTCCCGACAAGGTTATTAAAGTACCATTTTTCCGGTTGAAGTCAGATCAATGGACATCTGAAAATAACATGTCACTAGCATGTACTTAATTACCATTTACCAATGGAATAGAAGCATGCAAATAAATCTTTAGCATGCCACCATATATTTCACTTTGGTCAATAATCATATACTATCATTTTCTACTTTTTACCATATTCCGTGGTACCAATGTCCATAGTTTGGCAGAAAAAAAAAAGTTTATATAAATGCTATTTAAAATAACTAATCTGTTTTAAACTAGTTGATGATCTAGTCATAAAGGTTTCTACCCTAATATCCTAACCAACATTCAACTAAAATCCAAAATATCTATTGACATTGTTTTATGAGTCGATATCCACTCCTTCAGCTGAGTAATAAAATTTCATTTTATTAAAAAATTTGAAAAAAAAAATCGTAAATTTCGATATTTTATGTGTGTTAGTGGTCTATATAATCTCTATTTTGTTTTTAACTCGAGTAGACCTTTAGCAGAATTTAATAATCAAAATATTTTTTCAAGAATTTAACATGTTATCATTTTAATATATTAAAAAGTATTATTAAATTAATATGCTTATGGTCACTTTCATAAAAAATTAATGATATCAAAATATATTAAAAGATTAATGCAATAATGAAATAAAACTTTGAATATATAATAATTTAATAATTTTTTTTAAAAGAATAATATAATAATATTTCAATCTTTGAATTACTATTTCAATAATCTAAATTAAAAAAAAGGAGTGACCGCAAATTGTAAAAAATAATATAGTTATGTGATGCATATAACTTTGTAAAAGAAGAAGCTTTGGATTTATTTATTAACCTTTACACGTTTAAATAACGTTGTTCTTTTGTTAAAAAAATAAAATAAATAACGTGTTTTGTTTTTGACAAGAAAAAAATAACGTTAATTTTTTGGGCATATAAATATTTATTTGACCTATTGAAATAAGAGTTAATCACTTATACATTATCGGTGTAAAAAAAATTTTATATTATCAACTAATCATATTTTTTAATAGTATCATGTCAGTTGTTTATTTAATAAAATAAAAATAAAATAAAATAATTTAAAAGATATGATTAATTGTCTGTGTAAAAAAATTTTATACTGTGTATGGATGATTAACTTTTGAAATAATGGTAATTATTTCTGAAGGCATCCCATCCGTCGATTCCACCAGAATAAAAAAAAATCAACGGTGCACTGTCAATCGCCATTTGCCAGACAAAGCTAGGCATTTCATGCGTTTTGCCTCGTATTGTTCGTTGGAATCAGCATTAACTTTTTATTATTTTTTATTATTTTTTATTTTTTATTTTTTTATTTTACATAACAATTAACAGCATTATTTTATTAATATAATAAAGATTAGTACAATATTCTAATTATTTCTAATCAATATCAAAATCATAGCTCGATAAATTATCCAATAAAGTCAAAATTTAATTTTAATCACAAAATAACATTAGAGGTATTTAAAATATTACACCTAAATTTTATTCACTCAAATAAAAAATCTTACTAAAAGTGTCTTAATTTTTTTAATAAAAGAATCATTAAATAAAAGTATTTTATTAAAAAATTATGATACAACTGTAACAATAACTTTAAAAATTGTATTTTTTTTATTTCACTCTGACACGAATAAGTAGATTTAATTCAATGACAAAGATCAAAGTAAATACATACTAACTTAAGTTTAATTAAAGTTGAAGTTATATGATATGTTTACATAAACTTATCAAAAACCATTTTGAAGAGAAAAATTAAGAAGAAAAGATAAAATTAAACTTCTCAATAAGTTAAAATTAACTTTACAAATTAATTTATACACAATTTAATTTTAACTTATTATAAAAAGTCTTATCTCATTTTTTTTCTTCTTATTATCTTTAAATGTTTTTAGAAAAAATTATTTAAACATACATATTTTTTTATTTGATAATGAGATATAAAAAAACTAACATCTTTAAATAAAAATGAAGAATGCATAAAGAGCAGTGTTTTTCTTGAGACGCTTTGTTTAATATAAAGTCGTATATTTTAATGCATGGTGTGGAGCTTTTGTTACTTTGTGACAAATGGAGGGTCCTTAGTTCTGTTTCTCTTTCTTCTCTCTGTGCTCTCAACCAAGCTCACCCAAATCACTCTTCTTCTTTTCCACCCTTTTGATCCCCTCATTTTCAAGGTAAAACATTGTCAACTTCTGCTTCCAATGTTTCCTTTCACGTTTTGTTTTGGCTTTAACCAAGCATTTGGAATGCCCAAATCTTCAATCCTTTACTATGTTGCTTTAATGCCTCCAACTTTGGTTTGCAGAGTCTTTCCCTGAAATGGGTTGCAAAAAACTGCTCGAACTTTCAATCAATGTTTTCCCTTTTCAAAATTCTTTTAGGCCATTTAAACAAGTTTCGAGCTATCTCTCTCTATGTGTCTGTATTATGCATATATACATACATACATACATGTATGTATTTCAAGATTTTTAGCGTCTTTGTTGAAGTGGTGATTTAGTGAAGAGTTTGTCTTATAAGTTCTTCACGCCCTCTCTATGTTGATCAGCACGTGTTCAACGGTTTATTCTCTTTCGGTTATTTTTGGAAACTTTGTCCAATGACTATCCTCTCTCCAAATTAATTGTGCTAATGTATTTTATGTATATATATACTCGTGATGATTGTTCAAGAGGGTTCAGTGTGCGTGAGTTGTTGTAATCCCTTACTAGTTAGTACTGGCTTCGGTTCATACGGATCAAAAAGAAAAAGTAAAAACACTTGTGATGATTGTGTTTTGGTTATTGTTACAAAGTTTTTAATAATCTAACTTTATGTTATCAAATTGCTGCTAATTTCATGCATCTTTGGCACAGAAAATAAAAAAGAGACACTGAGATGAATGAATCAATTTGTTGAGGTTGTTTATAAATCAAATTGTGACCAACTGTCTTTTAGTATTAATTGTTTTTCGTTTCCATTATGCTTTGACTTTGAATTGAAGGTTCTATATATGATAGATGTTGTTACTTGTTATTGTTGGATAAGGTATTCAAAATTGGGAGGTTTTCGTTTGAATTGTGATGTCCAAGCCACTGCTAGGCATAGGGGAAGAGGAAGGTCAAAGCAATGTCACTTTGTTGGGCTCTTCCTCAGCCACCATGGAGAGTGTTTGCATGAATAGCTCGAAATTGAAAGAACGCAACTATATGGGGTTATCTGATTGTTCATCGGTGGACAGCTCCGCGCCGTCCTTCTCAGATGAGAGTAAAAGTAATCTGAACCTTAAAGCTACTGAGCTCAGGCTGGGGCTTCCGGGATCGCTGTCTCCAGAACGAGATTCAGATCTTTGCTTGAGAAGTTCAATTCAGTTTGATGAAAAACCTTTGTTTCCTTTGCATCCTGCAATTGATGATCATCATTCCTCATCAAAGCCTGCTGTTTTGGGTAACAAAAGAGGGTTCTCTGATGTGATGGGTGGATTCTCAGAGGTAAATACCAATTTAATTTAGGACAACACAGATATGGTATCATTGGTATTGTTAGTGTTGTTTTCTGATAAGAATTGAAGTTTCACTTTGATAATATGTATTTACATTTAACACAGACCTTGGTAATATATATTTACACATATTACAGATATAAAACTCTAATTCTGATTAGAGAATAGTATCAACAATACCTATGGTACTGTACCTATATTTTGTCCTTCAATCCAAGGGGACATGTGTATTTTTTAAGTACTGGACCAAGCACTAAAAGTCCCCAATTTATCATGCAGGAGAAATTGCTTGTTAGTTCTGAGGTCAACACAATATTGTCACCCAGGCCTTCTCCTAATGTGGGATTGAAACAAAGCTCTATGCTTGAGAATATTGGGGCTCAGCAAGCCAAAGCCAAAGAACTCGCAACAGCCAAGGTTGGTCTTGAGAGATCTCATGCTGTCAATGAAAGCAGACCAAGTCTTAATGGTTCTCCAAATAACAATAGCTGTGCACCAGCTACCAAGTATGTGGATAGTGGGAATTGGCATAAAGTTTGGCCTTAACCATGAAAATGATCTCTTATGTGATGATCCTTGTGTGGCAGGGCACAGGTTGTTGGTTGGCCTCCTATAAGATCATTTAGGAAAAATTCGTTGGCCACAGCTTCAAAGAATATTGAAGAAGTAGATGCCAAGGCAGGATCTGGTGCACTGTTTGTAAAGGTAAGTATGGACGGTGCTCCTTACTTAAGAAAAATAGACTTGAAGAATTACTCTGCGTATACCAAATTATCGTCTGCTCTGGAGAATATGTTCAGCTGTTTTACCATAGGTAGGAAAGAATTAGTTTTACTTGAAAAGTTTAGCCTTTTGATTGTTGGAGGCCATTTTGCCAGGATCCAGTTACTGCTTATGTTGATGTGATTTCAGGTCCTTGTGGATCTCCTGGAAATCTAGGAGGGGAGGTGCTGAATGAAACCAAGCTGAAGGATCTGCTTCATGGATCAGAATATGTTCTAACATATGAGGATAAAGATGGTGACTGGATGCTAGTGGGTGATGTTCCCTGGGAGTAAGTTCTAATTCATTTATCTACTTGCAAGTCTTTTATTGGCATTTCTTTTAAAAATAATGAATTCTTCGAAAGTAGTTGAATAAGTACATCAAGAAATGTTGATAGATGGTAGAAAACTAGCATTTTGCATAAGAGACTGTACAAAGCCAAGTAAGGCTTGGATAAATATAAACCGTAGTGCTCATCATGCATGATCGCGAGTATATCACAACAATGTGTACATAGAAGACCTTTTTAACTTAGAATGTAACATACATTCTAACATGCACTTGATGAATATGTGATTCCGGAAGGGGAAGTGTGAATATGTATGATATCCTTGTTATTTTTGGGAGCCATAATTTATCTGTGTTTATTAAGTGTAGCCAGTTGAAAATATAAGTTAGGGAATGACTAACAATCTAAAGATCTTATGGAGTTAGTTTCCTGTAATATCAGAGCTTTAAATTATACTAGGTGCATGGGTATAGGGCATCACAAAGTAACGAAAAGGAAAAAAAAATATGTTTATGAATTGTTCAGTTCTGTTATCATAAAATAGAAAATATTTGTTGAAAGATGTTAATTCTTTAAATAGATTTCAATACTTCAATAGATTAGTTTTAGTTATTAGTTAGGATAAACTCTTTGTTCACTGAAAAAAAAATCTTATAAAAGAAAACAAAGTTGGGATGTAGATTACTTACTCTTTAGGGACGATGTCTATTCATTGATAAATGATAACGTACCAAAATATCAAATGTAATTTTCTTAATGTATAGCAATTTTTTGACAACCGGAGAACAAATGTCTAATATAACTATTTTTTCAGGGAAGACCTTGGGGAGCCTTTTCTTTTTGTGATGATAAATTGTATATTTCTTTTATATTTTGAATCGGCTTTTGTTGTCCATAGTGTTCAAACATGATTAACTTCAATAAAAGATACACGTAGGCTATACTAAAAAAAAAAAAATTCTGAATTGGCTTGAAATTATTGGCCGGGGTGTGAAATACTGAAATACTTGAATCCTTATAGCAACTTTAAGGATGAAGGTTATTATTATCTTTTTTCCTTATTTGACACGCTAAAGTCATATTTCTACCAAAAAGGTAAAAGGAAACCACTCATAATACGTTTGTGAGCAATAAAAATAAACAAAAAACATTGTGGCTTGATATAGTTTTAATGGGGTTTACTTTTTAACTCTAATTATCAGTGAATCATATGGTGCCGTGCATTTAAAGAACTATTAATTGTAGTTAAATATTGTACTTTCTTGTTTACTATTAGAGTTTTACATGGACATGGTTAAATAGATTTAGTCACATTTTAATGTAGAATTTAAAGAACTAAGCCTTTTTTCATTCCACTTTGAGTTGTTTAACAGAATGCATTTTTGAACATGTGTTTGATTTTCAGTTGTCACTGTTGGGTATACCTGCAAATTAATTCTAAATTTCCAATCTAATAATATATAAAATCTTTGCAGGATGTTTATTGATACGTGCAGGAGGCTGAGGATCATGAAGAGCTCTGATGCCATTGGTCTAGGTTAGTATTCCATTCAACACCATTCATCTTAAAATCTAAGCCGAAAAGGGTACTAGTGAAGTTTATCATAAAAGTAATGGATTTAATTTTCTGGGGCTAATAGTTGGAGTGTAGGATAAATTAGAAATTTTCAAATGACTGGTACATGTTTCAATTTTGCACTGGAAAGGAAAAATTGACAATCATATAGCATGTTTGGTTCAACTTAAATATGAAAAAATAATTACTTTTTTTTCAAAAAAATTCTTAGAAAGTTTGCAAAAATAAGTGATTATTTCTCCAAAATAAGCTGAACCAAGTTTGCGGCTGCCACTAAAATAAGTTAAATATTAATTCCATATTTGGAAATAGATAATTTCTTGCACAAGAGCGTATCCACTGCATGCTGGTAATAAAAGAAAAGTGATAAAGAAAACTGTGTTTAGACACGGTTAGAGATAAGTTATTTTTCAGTTTTAGAAATGATATAATTCTAAATATAAACTCAGTGTGGCACAATATAATTTCTTTTGTACATGATTTTTTGATACGGAGAAATCTGTAGAGGAAGAGATTGGCAGAATCCTAGTTAATCTATCTTTACCAATTACTTTGAATCTGCTGTCAACTTCTTTTTGATACAGTGAAGCTAAAGCTATAACAATTCTATTGTTATAACTATGCATATTTGATCCAATTTACTGTTTTGAACTTTCTAGCAGCACCCAGATCTGTTGAAAAAAGTAAGACCAGGAACTAGGCAGTATCAAGCATCTCATCACTCCCTATCCATCTAACTGTTTGTGGGGTTAAAAAGCTTTCTGGGCTATGTGGGGAGCAACCAAATGCCATAGTGGCTTGGAAGCAAAACTGAAGGCATGTTGGACCGGATAGAATTTCGTTGTAAAGTGCCTTGATCATGATATTATTTACTATGTGTGTGTTATGTTGTCAAGATGTTTATATTCAGTAAGCTTTTTTCATGATTGTCACAACTTATAAAACCGCAAAACCTGTCCGTGGGAGGTTCTTATATTTTATGTGCTCTCATGTTCCTGTTGTGGTGAAGGATTTGTAGTTTGTATATTGCATCATCCCTTCTATGTTTGCAACTTTGTGTGAGATAAAAAACGCCAAGTTGTTATATGTTATGCACCTTCTACTGTTTCCCTTTTGGTATCTGTTAAATGTCATTGACTTGGTTAAAATCAACTTCGTGTTGTACTTTGGAAGCAATTTCATGCACCTTCTCACTTTATTTTTTAGTTTTATGAATTTTAACCATTAAAAGTGTGTTAAAAAAGAATGTGTTAGAGTGTATTGCTATCACTTCTTGTCATGAAAATAGTGCCATATTCCATGAGGAGAATATGTTCTCTTTCTGAATATTAGTTTAGTTTCATTCATAGAACATGAAATCAGTCGATAAGTTATAAAATTCTCCCCTATGAGAATAAATCTTATCATTCAGTTTAGGCTAGGAGTTATTTTTGTGTTGACACTTTAAACTTCCCCTTCTATGTGGTCCAGTTTGTAATCATTCTGAATATAATATGCGAGAATTTTGTAATAAATATAACGTTGTGCTTGGTGAGGTTTGAGCCTTTGCATTATACTATTAAGATTCTGTGACACTGTTAGATATGGTTGTCGAGTTGTCCAGGAACCTAGCCCTATAGCATGTGAAGCTCAGATCATTGGATGCAGTGAATGGATCTTCCTCCTTAATAAACTAATGCACAAAAATGGAAATCATGAACCATGCTAAGCCTTCATTGGTTCTTTTATTTTATGAAACATTATAGCTCTTGAGAGGGGAAAATTCTTGCATGATTGATAAAATGGCCTTCCCTGGTTTAGATTACGGGAATAGGAATCTTTTATTTCGAAAATTTGTGGTTTATCGAGCATGCTGTATGGACTACAACAGCATGGATTGGAAAAAGACAATAAAACATTAAGTTTGGATCGGAGCTCTGGATACTCTTTAGCTTTGGTTTATTGTATGCTTTGGATAATAAATTTATCTCTTAAAAATATTTTGGATAGCATAGTGTTTAGCTTTTGGTTTATTGAATGCTTTGGATAATAAACTTATGTCTTAACAATATTCTATGATGCTTTGGATAGCATAGTCTTTAGCTTATAGTAAGACACTAGAATGTTGAGGATATGTAAGTATCTACAAAAATATAATTTATCATGTAGTTAATTTCGAAGGAGTGTTAGTAGCGCATATTTTCTAATCTACAATTTATTATTAGTTAATATTTATTTAAAAATTATACAATTAAAAGAAATTGTCATTAAATAACAAGTGAGACTTAGAAAAATAATAATTTCTAATGGTTTATTGTTCTTTATTTCATTATCATATTTATGGTTTGATTAAATAGTTACTCTGACAAGGCTTTTTATTTATTTATTTATTAAAATTGGAGACTTATTATCATCACAAAGATTGGGATAATGAAAAATAAAACTTTTATAATTTTAATTTAAATTGTTTTCTTACTCAATTTTAAAGTGTTTTATTTATTTATTTAATATTGAATATACGAGATCACATACATAATGATTGTGCTAATTTTTGCTAAAGAAATTATTTCATTTGATAAATTAAATTAAAGAATTTAATAGAACTAAAAAAAACAAAATATTAAAGAATTTAATATAAATAAATAAATTTTGTTAATTTAAGATATTATTATATTTTTTGTTAACACATCAAGAAAAAAAAATAAAAATATATATATATATATACGAATTTAATAGATATATGCAGTTAAAGTATAATGTAAAAAAAATTATATGTAACTCCTTACTGACAAATCTTAAAAGGAAAATATTAATTATCACGGAAAAATCATAAGTCAAATCTTATTTTACACTTTTTTAATTTTTAATTAAGATCTATTTAAAAAAAGGATATTGGTCATTATTTTCTTTTCATGCATTTTGTACTGTTTTCCTTCATAGCAAATAGCACAATTGATCAATTTTATGGGACGTTTGATAAAAGGAAGATTTTTTCATCGAGAATTATGATAAATAATTCTCAAGAATTATAAATCGCAAGAATTATAATTTTTATAAATAATTAAAATATTTTTGGTTGGTTATAAATGTTCTTAAAAATATTTATATATAAATATATATATATATATATATATATTACTTGAAAATAAATGATTTTTATTACATTAAAAAGACAAATAAAGATAATGTGATATTTTTATCGTTTTTTTTAACTCTTAGATTCTCACGTACTGAACAATTTTATGAAAAATATATGAAAAAAAAATTCTCAAAAATAATCTTATATTTCCTTAAAAATATTATTTTTAATTAATAAATTAAATATAAAAAACTATATTTAGGTTTTTAAGAAAGTAAAAAACTTGTAGTGTAATAATCCCAAGAAAAAAAAGTTCAAGAGTGTTAACAACCTCATTTTTTTTATTCCCTTTTGTCCTCTGGTTAAATATTTTCGTTAGGCTGGTGATAAACACACCTCCACTCTCATATAAACACACCCCCTTTTTAAAAAAAAAAATATAAAATGTCTAAATTACCCTTTAAAAAAAATGAAATTCTTAAATTTACACCTTCCTTCCCCCACCCTCCTTCCCCACACCCCACATTTCACACCCCTCTTCTTCCCAAAGCCTCTTTCCGCTCAATGTTATTAAGCAATATACTTTTACAGTCATTCTGAATAGAAAAAAAGGACTAGTCCCACCATAATCAGCATAAGAAAGGTTCTTTTACAGTCATAGCATTTCGAAAAGTACTTTTAGAGTCATTAGCATTCCGAAAAGTACTTTTCGGAATAGAAATTATTGTTCATATAATTCCGGAAAGAACTTTCCGTAATAGTAACTTTAATATTATGGAAAATACTTTCCGGAATTATATAACAAAATATTTCCGGAAAATACTTTCCGGAATAAGAATTTAATATTATGGAAAGTATTTTCCGGAACATTTTTATATAATTCCGGAAAGAACTTTTCGTAACAGTAAGAAGAAGAAGAAGAGGAGTGCCAGAAAGAGAAAGAAGAGGGGTGCGCAATGTCGGCAAGTGATTTTGTATGAGAAAGACTCTTATTTGTTCTATGAAAAGAAAGATTAGTACAAAAATAACTTTTAAAATCGGGGTTTTAAAATCAGTCATAAGGTAGCCATTTTAAAAGTGACGCGGTGGCCTGTACTGCAACAGAACGGCCCCAGAACGGCCCTTGCTGCAAGCAGAACGGCCCTTGCTGCAAGCAGAACGACCTGTACTGCTTGCAGAACGGGCCGTACTGATTGAAGAACGTGACGTACTGCTTGCAGAACGGGGCGTACTGAAAACAGTACGGCCCGTTTTGCTGCAGACCGGCCAGCACTGAAAACAGAACGGGCCGTATTACAAGCAGTACGGGCCGTTCTGCTTGCAGTACGGCCCGTTCTGCTTGCGGGAAGGGGGTGCGAGGAAGGGGGTGCGAGGAAGGAGGGGTGTAAATTTAGGAATTTTTTTTAAGGGTAATTTAGACATTTTATATATATATTTTTTAAAAGGGGGTGTGCTTATAGGAGAGTGGAGGTGTGTTTATCATGAGCCTTTTCGTTATCTAAAGCCAGAATTACAGTGTATTGGGCCACTGGACCAATATACTGCCAGTGGCCCAAGCCCAACTTCATCAGCGTGGCCCAGTTAATTATAGAAACTCAAATTATTTAGCTAGTTTGATCATGATAAAAAAATATATTTATTTTGAAAGTATTTGTATCATTTTTCCATTAGCTATTTTTAAATTTCTCCATTAGCTATTTTAAAACTATTTAGATTTTTTTATTTATTATTTTTATGTTCAGTAGCTTAATTACATTTCTCCATTCAAAATCTTGTGCAATATCTAATCATCAAGTGAGATTTTTCACAGAAATATAGTTAGATTCAATTTATTTGCATTCTTCATGAAGCAAAATAATTATGGGAATGGGACCATGTATTATTAGAAGTAAAAACTTCTTGTGAACAAAGAAAATGAAAAATGCAATAGAGTCAACCACAGTGAAGGAAAACGAAAAATGAATTGATCTCAATTTCTCTGTCAAAACAGTACAATACCAGGGGTCTCTATATAAATAATTTATAACCATATATAAATAGATGTGATAACCTATAATAGCCGGTAAACCTGTAACATAATCCAATAGCCCCCTCTCAAGATGGGAGGAAGATGTTGTCAATTCCCATCTTGGACAATATGCTCAGGAAAGCATTTCTTGGCAAAGCTTTGGTAAATACATCTGCAAGCTGATGAAACTTCCGAACATGAAATAATTTGAGAACTCCTCTTGTGACTTGTTCCCTTACAAAGTGAAGATCTATTTCAAGATGTTTTGTCCTTTCATGGAATATTGGATTGGAGGCTATATGAATAGCAGCTTTATTGTCACAGTAAACTGCTGCATGTGTAGTTGAAACTTGGAAGTCTGTTAGAAGATTTTTCAGCCAAATTATTTCACTGGCCACAGATGCAAGGGCTTGGTACTCAGCTTCAGCGGAAGACTTGCTAACTGTTGTCTGCCGTTTTGCTTTCCAAGAGACCAACGAATTGCCCAGGAACACGCAGAACCCTGTTGTGGATCTTCTACTGTCACTACATGTACCCCAATCTGCATCAACATAAGCATGCAACCTTGTGTCAGAATTAGCTTTAAATAAAATACCTTGACCAGCAGTATGCTTGAGGTATCGAAGTAACAATGTTGCTGCATTCATGTGGTCAGTGTGAGGATTGGACACAAATTGACTCAGCTTGTGGACAGCATAACAAATATCGGGCCGAGATATTGTTAAATACAAGAGTCTCCCAATTAGCCTTCTATATATGCTTGGGTCTTGGAGCTTGGTTCCTGATTCTGCATGAAGTTTAAGATTCGCCTCCATTGGAATGGCTGAAGGTTTGCAAGCCAGCATGCCAGAATCTTCAAGAATGGCTAGTGCATAGTGTCGTTGACATAGATAAATACCTTCCTGTGATTTTGACAACTCCAATCCTAAAAAAAATTTGAGATCTCCTAAGTCTTTTAGCTTGAAGTGTTGCTGGAGCATGGTTTTAGCCATGTGGATCATATGCGGGCTTGGACTAGCTAGCACAATATCATCTACATACACTAGAACAATTATGAATGTAGAGCTGGAACCTTTCGTGAA